GAATGTCTTTGGGTCATTCTGGGTCAATATTCTTTTTAAAAAATTTTTTTAAATTTTTGTTTTTGTTTTAAAGATGTGGGGTACAATTCAGGATTAGGTATACAAATGGTCATTGTACGGGAAAAATTTGGACCTCCCTTTGGTACCCACTTTGCCTGGTTCGAGATCAGGTACATTTATTTATTTATTTTTGAGTTGGAGTCTCACTCCATCGCCCAGGCTGGAGTGCAGTGGCATGCCCATGGCCACCCCAGCATTGACTTGCTGGGTGCAGGTGATCCTTGTGCCTCAGCCTTCCAAGTAGCTGGAACTACAGGCCCGCACTACCATGCCCGGCTAAGTTTTGGTTTACTGTAGAGAGGAGGTCTCACCAAGTTGTCTGGGCTGTTCTCGAGCCCGTGGTCTCAGGCAATCCACTCGCCTCGGTCTCCCAAAGTGCTGGGATTATAGGCTGAGCCACCGAGCCTATCCCAGGTACCCTTACTGATGAAGTGTGCCCCCTGCTCTCTCCCCTGGCTGTTTCCCACTACTGCTGATTCCTTCCTTACAGTGTTACTATAATTGTTCAGGGTCCGCTTTGAGTGAGAACATATGGTACTCAGTTCTTTGTTTCTATGATAGACTGCTGTGTATTACAGACTCTAAATCCATCCAAGTTGCTGCAAAGTTCATAATTTTTATCCTTCTTTATGGCTGTGTAATATTCCATCATGTATATGTACCACATTTTAAAAATCCAGTCCACTTTTGATGGCCAACATGATTGGTTCCATGTTTTTGCTATTGTGAATTATGCTGCAATAACCATGTGGGTGCGGGTATCTTTTTCATAGTGATTTGAGTTCCTCCAGGTATATGCCATAAAAGATAAGATAAGTGGGACCTCATCAAACTGAAAAGCTTCTGCAAAGCAAAAGAAACCATCAAGAGAGTGAGGAGACAGCCCACAGAATGGGAAGAAATATTTGCCAACTGTATGTCTGATAAAGGCCTAACCTCCAGGATCTACAAGGAACTCAAACGTACCGAAAAGAAAAAAAACAAATGGCCCTATTAAAGTGGGCAAAAGTTCGAGACCCACCTGGGCAGCAAGACCTCATCTCTACAATAAATCAAAAAATCAGCTGAGTGTGGTAGCGCATGCCTGTAATTCGGGCTACTTGGAAGGCTGAGGCGGAAGGATCGCCGGAGCCCAGCAGGTCGAGGCTGCGGTGGCCAGGAGCGGCCACTGCACTCCAGTCTGGGCGACAGAGTGAGAGTCCAACTCAAAAAAAAAAAAAAAAAAAAAAAAAGTGGGCAGAAGAGCCGGGCTTGGTGGCTCAGCCTGTAATCCCGCGCCTTGGGAGGCTGCGGTGAGTGGGCTGCCTGAGCCCTGGGTTTGATACCCGCCTGGGCAACTTGGTGAGAACTCATCTCCACAATAAATCAAAAAATTAGCCGGGCGTGGTAGTGCGGCGCCTGTAGTTCCAACTACTAGGAAGGCTGAGGCGGAAGGATCTCCGGAGCCCAGCAAGTCGAGGCTGCGGTGGCTGGGAGTGGCCACTGCACTCCAGTCTGGGCAACAGAGTGAGACTCTAACTTAAAAAAAAAAAAAAAAAATTAAAGTGGGCAAAAGATATGAATAGACATTTCTCAAAAGAAGACATATGAACAGCCAACAGGTGCATGAAAAAATGCTCAGCCTCACTAATCATCAAAGACATGCAAATTAAAACCACACTGAGATACCACCTAACTCCATTCAGGATGGCCATCATCAATAACTCAAAAAACAACAGGTGCTGGAGAGGATGTGGGGAAAAGGTAGGACTTCTACACTGTTGATGGGAGTGCAAACTAGTGCAGTGTCTTTTGGAACAGTGTGATGATTCCTAAAAGATCTAAAAATTGACCTTCCATACAATCCAGCAGTCCCCCTTCTGGGAATATACCTGGGTCAATATTTTAAGGCACATGGTAAGCTCCTTAAATATGAGGTTTTAATTTTTTTTAAATTCAGGGAAACTCTCTTGAATTTTAGGCTTATTATTTGTTTTTGGTATTTCTACTGGTCCCTCACTTTAGCTATTTTCTTCTGAACTCCTATTATCTGCAGTTTGGATGTTTTTTTTGCTCTTCTTCAGTCTATGCTACTTTCTCTCAAATACTTTTTTTGTCTCTCTTTAAATTTAAGACATTTTCTTCTTTTTTTGCCTTCAGCTTTTATAAAATCATCATATTTATTCCCTCTTGTGTTCCACCTAGGTTAGTCTTCATTTCAAATTAATATTTTTATTTCATTTTTTTCTTGATCTCTGATATTTTATTTTTAGGCTATTCTAATTTTCTTTTATGATGCTTTTCACTTATTGTATCATTTTCTTACTGTCTTTTTGCTATTTTTAAAATAGAAGGTTATAGTTTGGTTATGTCTTTTCAGTGTGCATTCATTGTCTATGAGGTTGCTAGTCTGTTCCTATGGGATTTAAACTTCACACCGTTTTGCTGTTTATTTTATATGAAATTGGTTTTCCTGTATGCTTAGAAGGAAGTATGGTTCAAGGTAGCTTTCTAACTTCACACAGCTCCCTCTTCTGTTGCTTTTCTGCTGTATTAAATATATATACATAGCTGCTTTCTGAGATTTCCTGAATCCGTTCTTCCCTCCGATACTTATCTGTGCCTTCTTCACTGTCTCCATCCTGTGCAAGTTTTATTCCACTCCCAGAAGTTTCTCCAGCAGCTGGGTCTGTCCTGGAAGGCAAGTGTGGTGGCTCAGAGTTCTCAGGGACTGTGCCAGATCCCTTGGCTGTTGTTATGCACTCCTGGCCCTGCCAGCATAGTTATTGACCACCTTGGGGTCTCCTGTTCTCACGTCCATCTGATACCCTGTTGCTTCCCTCTGTGTCCTTTTGTATACATACTCTAGGTCTTGTAGCAGTTGATGTTTTGTCCTCAGCCACTTTGTTTGGAGTCTGTGGGTATGACTTGTCATGCAGTGTGGTGACTGATCAAAATGGCCTCTGCTTCCTATATGTGCATTCTGATTTTCACACCAAAAGGCCGAGTCTGTTTCTCCTTTTGAATCTAGGATCATTCTGTGACTGATTAACTGACAGGATGTGGAGAAAGTGACATCCTGGGCAGTTCTTGGGCCCTAGTCACCATGCTGTGAGAAGGCCAAGCCACAAGGAGAACCCATAGGAAGAACTGAAGTGCTCGGGTGAACAGCTCCAGCTGAGCTCCCAGACAACACCCGCAGGAGGGTTCCATCTTAAATGCTGTGCTCCAGTGGAGTCTGCAGATGACTGCAGCCCTAGCTATGAGAAATAACACCATGAGTGTTATTCTAAGACACAAAGCATTAGATGGTTTTAAATGCAGCAATAGAAAACAAAAGCAACTCGTTTTGTTGCAGATGTTGTACACATTTTGAAATTGTGTTATCTCATTGTGCCTGTGTTTTTTTGTGGGGATTTGGAGGGAATCTAAAACAATGTCCTGTAACGCTATCTGCCCAAATTATCCCAGAGTCCACTCTGACATAAGATTATAAGGTTCTTTTAGGGTAGACCTCAGCCAAGACCTATGAAACCACCAGGAAGTGTAATTCAGAACAAAATACAGGGAATTTATAGTTTCCCCATATGGACTTCGGCCTTCTAATCAGCCTTAAATGAAAATAGACTCCTCTCTCTTTATTTTCTGTCTCCCTCAGGCCAGTGTTGTAGTTCACACTGAATAAATTAACCCATATATTTGATGTTAGTTGCCGGGATAAAGTTGAACACCTTAATTCTCTAGATCCAGATTGCTAGGAGTATTAACTAAATTTTTGAACAATTAAAACACTTTCAAAAAAAGCCCGAGTGAGTCATGTAGGCACTGAATCAAGTCATAATTTGGCTCATTTTCAAAAAGTATTAAGTACTTATGACCCAAGAACTGTTGTAGATATTAGGGTGCTGGTTATAGACCAGTAAACAAAGCAAACAACTCCACTATTAAGGAAATTAAGGTCCAGTAGCTTATGTTCTTTAAAGAATTGTTCAGTGGTCATCCTACTGTTACTTGAGCATGCTCTTTGGGAGGTGTCAAACCCACTTCTAACAACGCCTTTTGGTACACGTCCTGAAAATAATTTTGGTAAATATCATTTTACCCATTTTATTACATTTTCAGTGGTGGCGCAGAGTTCCTCAAAGATTGGTTTCTCTGGAGGTTATTTAATATTTCCCTTAGTCCAATTCTGATTTCTAAGAGTCACTAAAATATGGTGAACAGTTAGGGGGGAAAATGAAGTATTAGATTTAAATTCTTTTTGGTTAAAAACAAAAGTTACATAAGGGAGATGCTTTAACTTTTCCAATTACCATAGAATTTTCGAAGTGGTACTTCATTAGATTAGTTCGAATGTGAAGGCTTTGTGAAGATATGGGGATAGGGAGATGGGAAGAAAAGAAGGAAGGAAGAGACTAGCAGAGGTTGTTAAAAGAGGAAAAGGGAAGAAATAAAAGCCCAGAGCTCAAAACCAACAATTTAAGAAAATCTAGTATTTTCGTAACTTTCTTCATGTACAACCTGGAAATGTACATTAACAGGAAACTGTCTACCCACCTGTGACTCTCCTTTTCCCATCCTTGGGTCTGCTGGGATCTGTCAGTGGGTGGAAGACATTGTCATTGTTTGTAATGTTCATAAGCCTGCGTGAATGTGAATGACATATATTTAGAAATCAAAATAAAGCTTTAGGAAGATCTTCAATTTAATGGAAACTAGTCTAGTCATTTGGGAACCACAAGAGCTTTTTAGGGAAAATCTGCCTCGGCCAGCTGGAGGAAGTGTGGGTGTAGCGGGGTCCCAGTGACACTTTGTGATGTCAGTCACCCCCCACTGGAGGCTGATTGGCCAGGAAGAGCTGCAGCAGAGTTTAAATTCCTGCACCATCAGGGGAGTGTTCAGAACATCAACACAACAGTGGCTTCACTGGGCACAGATTTCCTCTGGGAGAACTTCAGACTCATTTTGGAGACTTTTTGGGAAAAAATCTTTGTGAACTAAAGAGGGTAAGACGTTTTCATCATTTAACTTCTAAAAATGACTTTTGCTGTGTTGTTTGGAAGATACTAAATATGGCTACCTGTTGAGGTATATGCAAGGCAGAGAAAAGTACGGGGGGCTATGCTTTGGGGAATAACAATTCCCATGTTTGTGTCTTGTTGTTTATGCCACAGTAAATAATGATATTAAAATGACACGCTAAATCAATGGAGCCAGGTGTTTTTCTTGGTAATGCCTTAATTAGGTCTCTACATGGTACTTCTGAAGGGAAAGTTTATGAGATAGGAGGCAGATGGAAGGCCATTGCAAAGTTTAGCTCTAATTAGGAAAAACATCTAAGACTTTTATTTTAGGTTTTCCTGGATATGAGGATGCTTATGGCCTACAAAACATTGTGCAGGAATCTAAACCGGACTGACAGGGCTTTCCAAATAAGCTTTTTTTGAAAAAATTAAAAACCATTTAATATTATTCACCTAGAGATCGTCTAGTAATAATATTCACTGTGAACTGAATAAATAACTAAAAAATGCTAAGATCACTGAAATAAACCCAGAGTGTGATAATGTGTTTTGTATTGTTTAGCTGAGTATGCATGTTTGCATAATGTCTTGCGTACAATCAGAATTCAGTAAATGTTGAATCTCATCGTCTTTGACAATGTTTTCTAGTGTACAAGACTTACATGTGTACATAACCTGTCCATGTGTAATTTTATGTGGCATGTTTATTGCAATTGTTCATCTATATCAAGAGTGTCTGTCTTCTTCACCACTGTAAAATGCATCTGTGTAACTAAAAACTGTTTGTGATCCCTAAAGCTATGAAAATAAAAAAGGTAGCATCTGTCTTCCACAACAAAGGAACTATGGTCAGGCAGTGCATGCTCTGTGACATTTAGAAGATTCCATGTGTAAGACAGCAATACTTCATGCAACCTGTCTTCTTCAGGAGCAGAAGGTTTTGGTTAAACAAGCTTTGTGCTTACCTGGCTCGACTATCCCACTTTAAGCTTGTTGGTTAAAAACACGGGAACAAACAAACAATTTCCTTAAGGGCATTAGCCTACTCATTTGTCCCCAAATGGTGATGTGCCTCAGAGGTGTAAAGGCTTTCCAAATTTATGTTTGATTTGGGGGTACTTCAGAGTTATTTTAACATCGGATTGATGGTAACCGACTTCAAAACAATTACAATAGGAAGGACTGGAAATTTTTGTGTTTCTCTGAATTCCTGGTAGAGTTCCTATCCTGGCCAAATTCCACTTTATTTTCAAAGAATAATATGAATTCTTGCAGGTTCTGGCTAGTTGGATTCTGGGTAATTTTATTTTTGCAAGACCAGTTTATTATTATGATTATGCCTTGCTGCACACTCAGCACTTAGAACAGTGCCTGGCACACTGAATGCTCTCAATAAATATTTATTGACTGCTAATGAATGTTCATGAGTATTTTTGAGGGTAACAATACTAAGACAAAAATAAGCAAATTAGCATGGGAAGTTGTTTTAAGTTGTTTTTTCAAGGGGAAAAAAGAGCCTTTGATTTTTTTCAAACCTTTATTTCCTTCACTTCAGTTTACATAAAACAAGATACATACAAGTACATCTTCTTTTTTTTGAGTCAGTGTCTCATTCTGTCACCCAGGCTGCAGTGCAGTGGAAACAATCATGGCTCACTGCAGCCTTGAACTGCTGAGCTCAAGCAATCTTTCTGCCTCAGCCTCCCAAGTAGCTGAGACTACAAGTACACCCCACCACACCATACCACACTCAGCTAATTTTTTTTTTTTTCTGTAGAAACAAGATCTCACTTTGTTGCCCAGGCTGATCTCAAGCTCCTGGCCTTAAGTGATCCTCCCACCTCAGCTTCCCAAAGTGCTGGAATTACAGGGGTGAGCCACCACGCCTTAAGTAAATCTTAACTTTGAGGAAAATCCAGAACAAACTTCCTTACTTGAGAGCCCAAAGATCTGGTTACACTTGAAATTTTGACTTCAATTTCTTTCTCCAGATCCTAAACATCTGGATCTTTTCAACCCTGAGAAAAACATTCAGAAAGATTCCAAACAGGTGGAACTCAAGTCAAGGGTGTTGATTTCATTCTGTTACACAATCTCACTATAGAATGACAGCATGGAGACTGTAGAAACAACATTAACCAATCAACAGAGAAGAACTTGGGATTCTGGACTTTGAATGTTCAGACTTGTGGGCGTTTTGCCTCTTTATTCAGAATAGGGCCATTGCATTACCTGCTGCTACTCTTTTTAGGATAGTAGCCAAAACGTTTATACAAGTTTGGAGTTCTCATTTGGAAATGCACTTCACAGAATTATCATTATAAATATCAAAGATGCTAAATGAAGACCTAAGATGGAGTTTAACACCTCCTTTAAGGTTGAACTATATTCTTTGGGAGGCAACATTTACTCTCTCAGAACTCCAGGGTGCCTTTAATTTTAGCTTACCAGACTTCCATTTAAGAAATTATTGCTTTAGGTCAAGGTACTAAATAGTATTTCTAGAAGCCTGAGCAAGTTAGGGCTATCTTCCTTATGTTTTATAATATTCCATCCATAAGAAATTAGACCACTGGAAGCAAGTGCTTCCATGGGGACAAAGACACAATGTTTATTGGTTTAAAGTACATGCTCATTGGCACCCCTTCATTTTCTAATTATTTAGATAAGGGAGGAGCTAAAGAAAATACAAGAAAACTCAATAGCCATCAACCTTTTATCAGGTCTGCCAATTTTCAGAGAATCATGGGATTTTCACTCTATTCAAATTTCACTCTGAAAATTAAAATAGTGAGCTACTTACTTTTTGTTTGACTGATGAAGCTGAATCCATTGGTATGCAGTTATTTTGAGAGTAACATCTTTGGGAAAATTTGACTTTCCTGAAGAAATGAACCCAAGAACTTAAAAACATGTTTTGATTGTGGGAACAGAAGGAAAGTAACATCTGTTGAATTAGGCTTGTTTAGGTACAATTGCGCATTTATAAATATTTTTCTCTGTTGATATTGAACAAAGGACTTAAAAAAGAAATTAGGATACTATCAGAATGTAAGGACACATAGACACTATGCTAACTTAGAAGAAACAAAACATACAAATCAAGAATAATTAGGCTGAGTAAGGATAATGCTCATAATATAAAATGAGAGGTTCTCTTTGTCCATTTGACTTACATGAAAGTAGAAATGAGGAACACTGGTCTCTTTATCTTAGGATTTTTAGCATTTTATTAAATACATTTAAAAAAAAAGAGCAGATGACTTCTTAAGCCCAATGTTTCAGACATTATTCAGACATTATTGAGCAAGATATTCTTATTTCCTAGCTCAAGGGTTAACATTTCTTGGGGCACTTGAAAAACAAGCCCATTCCTGTCGACCCCAGTGAACTGATTTATTACACTGGGATGGGACTTGTGTGTTGGTATTTTTTTTTTTAAATCTTCCCAGATGATACTAATGTACAACCAGGGTTGTACATTATATTTGGCTTATATCTCTTATTATTAATGTAGTCCTTTTACCTTCTGAAAGTTTGCTGAAAGTCAGCTGGCAAATGGTAGATTAATGGGACAAATGTGAGCACAGTTTTACATGACATGGAGTCTTCAAATTGAAGACTTAAACATAGGGAAAACTATCCATTTTATGCTTAGGTTCGACAAAGTATGGAAGAAAGAGTAATAGCTTTAGGTTTTATGATTGGCTTTGGGGAAGAGAGTTCTGGTTTCTACAGCTCATCTTGGGATAGAAAGACTCTAGCTTCTATGTGTAGCCTTAGAGGATGATAAGGGGGCCAGTGACAGGAAGTCACGAGAAAGTCAGAGAGAAACTTTTGCTTCTGAAACCTTCATTTTGGGGTACTGTTTTCTGAGCCTCACACTAGTATAGTATGTATCTAACATTTAAAGCAACAAGTCAACAAAAGTGAAGTCTGAGATAAACTCGCAGGAATTTTTGCAAAATTTCTGAAGGTCCATTAGACAGGTGTGTTAGAGCAGCTACCACAGGGGAAACTGTTTTTCTTTAAATCGTTTCAGTAACTTTTTTTTTTGAGTCGTGGTCTCATTCTAACACCCAGGCAGGATTATAGTTCACTGTAGCTTCAACCTCCTGGGTTCAGTCTATCCTCCTGTCTCAGTCCCTTGAGTAGCCGGGATTACAGAAACATACCACCATGCCCCACTAATTTTTTTTGTAGAGATGAAGTCTCACTGTGTTGCCCAGGCTGATGTCAAACTCCTGGGCTCAAACAATCCTCCCACTTTGGCCTCCCAAAGTGCTTGGATTATAGGCGTGAGCCACCGCACCTGGCCCAATAACTTTTTACATTAGCATCTAGTACATCTATTTTTAGATACAGAACAAATTGTTTTCTAAATCAACTGTTCCTGAAGTGTAAATGAAGCTAGTCACCCTCCAGAAAAATAGTTTGTTTGGCATGTTTCTCTCAGCATGGTTTACAAATGTATCCCAAGCTTCTCGTCTTCCCCAAATTCTTCAGTACTGTGAATCACACCTAAAAGATCTTAGCATAATCATGTGTAATGTATGACTAATTGTATCAGAGTTGATATTAAGAACCTTCTGGAGCTGTAATATGCCTTCCATTGTGAATCTCTGGCATATCAAGAAAAAAAGTAGAAACAACCTATTTTGTGTAGATAGTTATAGCCAGTGTGTGTGTGTGTGTGTGTGTGTGTGTGTGTGTGTGTGTGTAGATAAATACCCACTACCTATCGACAGTGTCAATAAATGTAGTTTTTTAGGAGAATAAATTTTCTAAGTTGTTTGTCCATTCCAAGCTGCATATAAAAGTGCATGGCCTGAAAGTTCTCTATTATCTTTCTTTACTTTTTCTTCCATTTTCACATTTTCTGTGTTAGTGAAGTATTTACAGATCTCCTCACTGAAAAGTTTTCAGTTTATTACTCAGGAGTGAGGGTGTTTTTAAACCACTTTCTTGAGTTATAATCTACATACCACACACTTTACTCATTTGAAATGTATAGTTTAATGGTTTTTAGTATAGTCATAGAGTTGCACAAGCTTCACTGCAATCAACTTTAGAATATTTTCATCACCTCCAAAAGAAATACTATACCTCTTAGCCATCACCCTTCAGTCTCCCAGCTCCCTGAACTCTGGGTTACCACTAAACTACTTTTTGTCTCTGCAGCTTTGCCCATTCTGAACATTTCATAGAATGGAGTCATGCACATATAATCTTCTTGTCTGGCTTCTTTCACTTAGCACAATGTTTCCAAAGTTCCTCTACTATGTTGCACATATCAATACTGCATTCCTTTTTATGGCTGAATAAGATTTTATTTTACAAATATTGTAAGTTTTGTTTACCCATTTATCAGTTGATGGACATTTAGATGAGTTTTTTAAATTTTTTTAAAATAGGAATAAATTGTTAAAAAGTTGAATCTGGGCAATCCCTTTGGGTCCCCTCCCACTGTGGGGGCTTTTCTGTCCTCTCAATGAATCCTACTTTCTCCAAAAAAAAAAGTTGAATCTGCTTTATATCTTTAGAATAATCATCCATGTCTTCCTTTATTACAGGTAAAGGCATCACACCCAACAATGAAGACCAGCATCCTGCTAATGTTCCTCTGGGGGTTATCCTGTGCTCTTCCAGTAAGTATGAGGGTAGGGATATATGGGTGAAAAACCCCTTTTATAACCAAACCCGACAATTTTCATTGACTATGAACTGAAGTGGCTGTGTATGTTCCAGTCAGATAAAACTAGTAGTTTCTTAGAAAGCTTTTTTCTTGAAAATACCTTTCAAGGAATTTCTTATTCTGTTCAGTTACTATTTATATAACTACGATTCTCATTTTTCTGCCCTGTAAGCAGTGGTTCTTAAAGTGTCATCCTAAATCCACAGAATCAGCACCAACTAGGGCTTTGTTGGAGGTGCAAATTCTTGGGTTTTACCCCAGAACTACTAAACCAGATGGGGCACAGCAATTAGTGTTTTAACAAAGCCTACAGGTGATTCTGATACAGGCTACAATTTGATTCTCCCTCTCCTAAGTAAGTAAAGTGTGAATAAATGCTGCCTTAGAAATTTCTCTTTGGGTTAACCATGTATACTACATTTTCTAGGTAGCCAGGTATCAAAATAATGAATCTGAAAGTTCTGAAGAATGGAAGGTGAGTAGCAATATGACTTTTTGAAATATCTTAACTTTAATATATTATTAGTATATCCAAGTTGACTCCATTGCAACTGTTGAACTGCTAATGATCATATTAAGAAACTAAACCATAGATAGTAAGTGTCATAAGTTCCTGTACACATAAGAAAATAATGCAACTCCAACTTAATAGTATAATTTGGTGAGGAATCATTTTTTTTCTTTTAGCTTTCTTTTTGTAATGGATATATATAATAGTGTAAGAGGATGGATGATAATAAAACTATACTTCCAGAAGAGGTTGGGACTCAAAATATGTTTTAACAAGTGATGTGTAGTGAGCAAGAGGTCAATTCCTGGGAGATAAGAAAAGGAAGAAGGATGAGAGGATGCTACAATCTTTGGAATGAGATTCAGTGTTTAAAGAGTGCTGACTTTCAATAACTCAATCATTATTAACTCTCAATTATTTAAGAATCATTGCTAGGCACAGTTCTGAGTGTTTCACATGTATTAATTTTCTCAACCATCACAACAACCCAATAAATTAGGCATTATATTTAATTCTCAACTTATTTATTTATTTCTTAACTTATTTATTTATTATTTTGAGTCAGAATATCACTCTGTCACCCAGACTGGAGTGCAGCAGCTCATTTATGGCTACCACAGCCCCGACCTGGTGGGCTCAGGCAATCCTTCTGCCTCAGCCCCCCAAGTAGTCAGAACTACAGGTGAGGCCACGTCACCCAGCTAATTTTTCGATTTATTGTAGAGACAAGGTCTCACCAAGTTGCCCAGGCTGGTCTTGAACCCCTGGGCTCAGGCAATCCTCTTACCTCGGCCTCCCAAAGTGCTGGGATTACAGGTGTGAGCCATTGCACCTAGCCTCATTCCCATTTTAAAGGTGAGAAAACTGTGGCATAGCTAGTCACTTAATTTTTCCAGGTGACATGGTTAAATTAGTGTTAAAGCCAGACTTTGGTTTTATGCCACCTCGGCTTCAGAATTCACATTCTTAACCAGCATGCTATATCCCTCTCAGGAAGAAGCCAGGTCTAAGAGGTCAGTACATTCTCAAGATTGGCACTAAAAGCAAGAGTTAAAATCTTATGCTAAGTCAGAGCGTTTCGTTTACTACCCTGTTTCCTGCTGACTTCTGCCTATAATATGACTTAGGTCCCTATGCTTTTGAGGGTGGCTAGATAACATCAGAGACCTGAGATGGGGTCTTGTCCCTGCCTGGGTCTAGCCTAGACATTGCGAGATGTATCATGAACTTTCACCAGGGACACCTATGGGCTGGATTTTAAAATCAGCCACTGCAGAGCCTCTCTTTCATTTAGCCTGAGACTCACAAACATACCTTGTGCTCAAGTCTATCCTAGGCATGAGAAAAATAACAATGTCTTGCTTCCTTGTACCCCTTAATTCCAAATGATGACTGACTGGGGTAGAGTCTGCCATTGTGCCCATCTGCAGCGTCACAGGCCACAGAATGAAAGTGATTACAGCTCCTTCCTCTGAGGAGACATCCCCAGCTGGCACTGCAGAGAGGCACGTTGAAGACATGCCAACAGCAGCTCCTCCCTGCTGTACTTGGCATCTTGGGTGTGCCACATGGGATCTTGTGTTCCTGGGGACAGGGAAGAATAAGTGGAGTTCCATCAGAAGTAGTCCAGGCATCCTCTTAGTGCTTATGAGACTCAAGAAAGTGAAGTATGACTAGTTACATTTCAGATTTAGCATTTGTTTTAAATACCAGGGCTCTTAGGTGACTTGAGAAAGGTTTGATGGCTTTTTCAGTTCATTTTTGTCTACTGTTAAGTTTGATAAGGTGGATGTTCTCAAAATGGAACATTTCTTAAGCTTATATCACATCGAATAGTTCTCAAGATGGTTCCATGGACATTAGCTGATCTAATCCTCATAGCAACCTTCTGGGGTAAGCACAGTGGGTGTTAATTTTCTTAATTTTTGAGTAAGAAACTGACAAACAGGTACAGTGAATTGCCTACATAGGGTAACCAGCCATCCCAGGTTACCTGGGACTTGGTGGTTTCCTAGGACATATGCCTTGGGAGTTTTCTAGAACATAGGATTTTCAGTACGAACACCAAGATGGATGTTTTTTAGGGCTAAAACCCAAACCAACAAGTTAATTGAGACTTAAGACTGGATTCTAAGTTGCAATGCTGCTTTTCTTATGTTACATTTCCTCTGGGTTGTATGAACAGTCAACTTCAAAGAAAGCATATTTTTTCTGTAAAAGTTTTCTAGATCTTTTATATCACAAGACCTTTTAGGTCATTAGTCATTTTACCTTCATTTTTCAGCCAATTAACCATAAAATTTTATTGTTACTTATGTAAATGTGAAACATATACCAAGGAACTAAAAAAAAATCACCTACAATTATTCTAAAGATTTCCAGTGACATAATCCATCTGTCAGGGAATAACTTGTTTTTCTTCTTTTTTTGAAGGGCCAGTTGACTCAGACACCAACACCACGCTTGGTAACTAACTCATTTATTTTTGTCATAAACATCTCATGAAGTAATTTTAACACTCTTCTCATCACCTTTTACCATTTTTAATGTATTAAATTCAAACTGGAAGCAACTGATGTGTATCATATTCTTTTCTTTCCTGAGGAATTACTAAAAGGAAAAATAAACTTTTTTTTCATTTCAGGAGAGCAGTGAGTCATCAGAAGGAAGTAAAGTGAGCTCAGAGGAACAGGTAATTAAGCAGACCTTTTTTAACTTTTCAGTCTACTTAGGAATTGAAGGAAATTATGTTAGATTACATTACCTGGCAACAGTTCTAAATATAATATTTTCCAACCATTGATTAGGCTGGCTAAATAGTCCCATAAAATGAGAAGGGAAAAATGAGTGAGGAGAATTCAGATGTGGATGTGCTAGTCATTGTATTTTTATCCCCAAGGCCAGGTTGTAGAAATTGTGTCTCTAAATGTCCCACCTAGTTAAAACACACACACACACACACACACACACACACACACACACACTCTCTCTCTCTCTCTCTCTCTCTCTCTCACACACACACACACTTTCTCTCTCACACACACACACTTTCACACACACACACTCACATACATGTTCACAGACCATGTTAGGCAACTAATAGCTCTCTTGTCAATCTAAACTGTTGCTTTCACAATTGAAGCAGTTCAGATAAGACCAAGAAGTACATGGAGACTCTCCATGTCATGGTTCCTGCTGGAGGAAAGCCCTGAGAAAACTGTCACGAAAACAACTGTTTTAGTAATGATCTTCTCTTTAAAATAGTCCTATCTGTGACTCTAGAAGTGGGAAAGGCAGGCTTAGTTTATGAGGGGGACCCCCAAAAACTCAGAATTTATTTATTAAAGACTGTATTTATTCTTGCATGTTTAAGCTTCAGTCACCTTCAAAGTACTCTCCATTTGATGCAACACACCAATCGAGACACTTTTTCCACTGCTCGAGATAATTTTTGAACTTGTCAATTTTCATGCCTTTTAGTGCTTCTGCCGTTTTTTGTTTCACTTCTTCCACATTGGCAAAACGTTTCTCTTTGAGGACTTTTTTCATCCAGGGAAACAAAAAAAGAGTCACTCGGGGTGAGATTGGGTGAATAGGGAGGGTAGGGCACAGGGGTCATACTGGTTTTGGTCAAACACTGCTGAACACTCAGCGCGTGTGGGCAGGTGTGTTGTCATGGTGGAAGAACCAGTCTTCACCTCAGGACGTTTCTTCTGCAACGCAGTCTTGCACAACAATACTAGCTGGTCCACTGATGCCAATGGGTTCCTGGAACACTTGCCTAGTGGAAGAGGCCTATATTACAAGGAGCCCACCCACCAGAAGACAATTCCAGGTTTTTTGGGGGTATCCCTTCGTGTAGCCCTTTACTGAAAAATTGACTTTCCTTTTCATTTTTCTGAGACTGAGTGTCATGACTTTCTCAGTTGTTCTATCATTTTGACCAAACTCCCTGAAACTTTGGTCCGTGGTGCATCCTACACTCAGCCAGAGTTGAAAGATGAATTATTAGGCTGTTTATCCCTATTCACCAAAGGTTCATGGGAGGAACATTCCAGAAACTTAAAAGCATAGAACTAGGGAAATGCTTTTTTCTGGGGACTTTGTGATTAATTGCCTTGGTGTTCTCGGAGCTCTCGCGTGAGGGTAACAACTCCTGCCTGGGAGGGTATGAGCTGTGCTTCCTGGGGCACAGTGGGCTAAACCCACGCTAAAGCCCCCACAACAGCAAGGAAATTCAGCACCAGGGAGAGATGTCAGTACTGCATACTCCTACTTAGAAACTCAGACATTGATCAGCAGGGACATGTGGAAAAAGAAAAAGATAATTTGGCAAGTGTGCTCATCTGTGGGGTATGGTACACAGAGCCGTATGAAGACTCATTCCCTTCCTCATCTGTGCAGATCATTCCGTGGTTTTCCTTATGGGACTCATCTTCCTGACCTCTCGCTTAGCACTATGCTACCTTGAAGGTCATACTAGTTGCTCTTTTTTTTGAGACAAGGTCTCACTCTGTCACCCAGGCAGGAGTGTAGTGGTGTGATCATAGCTCACTGCAGCCTCGACCTCCTGGGCTCAAGCAATCCTCCTGCCTTAGCAGTGGGGACTACAGCTGCTTGCTACCACATCTGGCTAATTTTTAAAAGTTTTTTTGTAGAGACGAGGGCTTGCTATGTTGCCAGGCTGGTCTTGAAGCCCTGGGTTCAGGCAATCCTCTCATCTCCACCTCCCAAAATGCTGGGATTACAAGCATGAGCCCTTTGCCAGACCACTAGTTGCCATCTTTTAGCTGAGTCTTTACAGGCAACTTTCCGCCTGTGCCAGAGAGGTCTAAACCTGGTTTGTGTGTGTGTGTGTGTGTGTGTGTGTGTGTGTGTGTGTGTGTGTGTGCGCGCGTGCGCGCGCGCGTGTGGGGGGGGGTGGGGAGTGGGTAGAGGGTATATACGTTACTTCAATATTTTATTTTCCTGCTAGTTAAAGGTTTCATCCTTCTGCCCTAATACATTTTTTCCCCCAGAGGGGAAGAAAAAATTGGGTTATTTTAAGCTCACTAAGTTTTTTTAAAAACGCTGTTTTACACCAAACAATTTGATGAATGAACATTATAAACCAACTCTGTAACTCATAAAAAGTTCTGAGAGGTTTTTTTTTTAAAAAAGGAATCATACTTACAATATGATTTGAGTTTCGTAAATGTGATTTTTTTTTCTAAACATTTTTTTGGAGTTGGGGGGTCTCACTCTGTCATCCAGGCTGGAGTGCAGTGGTATGATCACGGCTCACCATAGCCTTGACCTCCTGGGCTTAGGCAATCCTCCTGCTTCAGCCTCCCAAGTAGCTGGGACTACAGGCATGAACCACCACGCCTGGCTAATTTATTTTTTTTTTTTTGGGGGTTTTTTTTTTTTTTTGTAGAGACAAGGTCTCATTGTGTTGCCTAGGCTGGTCTCGAACTCATGGGCTCCAGCAGTCCTCCCGCTTCAGCCTCCCAAAGGCATGGTGTGAGCCTTGCCGCACTGGGTGAAGTGTGCCTATACAAAATGCAATGATTTGAGTTTCCTCCTCTTCTTTTCTGTTTATGCTCTGGTAGAGATGCTTTTGAGCAGTAAAACTGACCATGAATTAGAGAAAAGGGCAGAGGAAGAGGGAAGCAGACAGAGCCTGGACAGGTACTAGGTAACTCCCTTTCTGCCAGTTCCTGGAATACTGACCATGTCTGTTAACCCCCAATTCCAGGCAAATGAAGACCCCAGTGACAGCGCTGAGTCAGAGGAAGGCCTGGGCTCCCATGACCACCAGTATGTTTATAGATCAGCTGGTGGCCTCTCCAAGGGTGTAGGAAAGGACGGCGATGACAAAGATGACGATGAAGATGACAGTGGAGATGACACCTTTGGTGATGATGACAATGGCACGGGGCCTGAAGAGAGACAAGAAGGAGGACACTCCAGACCGGGAAGTGATGAGGATTCTGCTGACACCACACAATCCAGTGAAGAGAGTGCCCCTCAAGGGGAGGACAGCGCCCCAGATGCCACCAGTGAGAGCAGGGACCTTGACAGCGAGGGCGAGGCGGACAGTAGGCCCGAGGGCCTTGACTCCACTACAGACAGTGAGAGTGATGAGCACTGGGTGGGGGACGGCAGTGAAGGGGAGAGCAGCCACGGAGACGGCTCCGAGTTTGATGACGAGGACGAGGGAATGCAGAGTGATGACCCAGACCGCCTCAGGAGTGCCAGAGTGAACAGTGCCCTCACCAAGTCAAGAGACTCAAAAGCAGACAGTGAGCAAGTCAGCACTCAGGACTCAGGGGACAGCCAATTAGTGGAGCATCCCAGCAGGAAAACCTTCAGAAAATCCCACATTTCAGAGGAAGACGACAGAGGTGAGCTCACTGATGGCGACACAATGGAAGACATCAAGAGTGACTCTGCAGAAGACACTGACTCCAAAGAAGCCGGCCTCAAGCAATCCAGGGAAGACAGCAGGAGTGACTCTCCAGGACTCAGCGAGGAGTATCAGTCCCAGGAAGACAGTCAAAACATCCAAGACCCCAGCAGTGAGTCCAGTCAAGAAGCTGACCTGCCATCCCGCGAAACCAGCAGTGAGTCTCAGGAAGACGTGGTGACTGAGTCCCGGGGAGACAACCCAGATAACATTGCTAGTCACACAGAAGACAGTGAATCCAGTGAGGAGGACAGCTTGAACACCCGCTCCAGCTCAGAAAGTGAATCCAGAGAAGAGCAAGCTGACAGCGAGTCCAATGAGAGCCTCAGCTCCTCGGAGGAGAGCCCGGAGTCCCCTGAGGTTGACAACAGTTCCAGCCAGGAGGGCCTTCAGTCTCGCAGCACAGAGAGCCAGAGTGAGGAGAGTCAGTCTCAGGAAGATGATGACAGTGATTCTCGGGACAGCAGCAAATCCAGAGAAGATAGCAACTCTACTGAGAGCAAATCAAGCAGCGAGGAAGATGGCCAGTCGAAAAAACTTGAGATAGAAAGCAGGAAGCTAACAGTGGATGCTTATCACAACAAACCCATTGGGGATCAAGATGACAATGACTGCCAAGATGGCTATTAGCGTCAGCTGTCCTCAGAGGTGACTTTCACATAAAGGAGTCTCGGGGGCTTGAAAGCAGGGAAATCATTGTAACTATAATTTATTGGTGTTTTGACCAGAAGGCTAACCAGAGGCCATTTATTTCTGAAAGGAATTGCTGGACCTTACACTTGTTTCTAGGATGTCATCATTCTGTAGAGGTTTAAGTAACGTGGAATGACTCCAGAATGCACTTAATGAGTCTGAAAGCAAGGAACGATATACGTTGTAACTTTGTAGCTGAGACCATTTTTTTTTTGGAGTTGGAGTCGCTCACTCTGTTGTCCAGACTGGAGCACAGTGGCATGCTCACAGCCACCACAGCCTTGACCTGCTGGGCTCAGGTGATCCTTCCTCCTCAACCTTCCAAGTAACTGGAACTATAGGCACACACCACCACGCCTGGTTAATTTTTTGATTTATTGTAGAGCTGAGGTCTCTCCAAGTTGCCCAGGCTGGTCTCAAACCCGTGGGCTTAGGCAATCCTCTCACCTCAGCCTCCCAAAGTGCTGGGATTATAGGCGTGAGCCACTGTGCCTGGCTAGCTGAGACCATTTCTAACTCATTAGCCTGACAATCAGCTACTGAGGTTCTATGATGTACCAGGCACTGTGCTGGGTGCTGAGAATGGAGAGAGGCTTCAGTCTTGCTTCCTGCTCCCGTGATGCTTATGGAAGGATACACAAAGCTAAAAGTTAAAGAGGGATGCATAGAAGGGCAATGCAATTATTAAACTAATCCACTGTGATAGACGCCAAAACAGAACTATGAACAAGATATCTGGGAGCACTGGGGAGGGGGACCAGCATTGCTTTGGTGAATTCTGGAGACCTCCATGCAGAAGACACTGGAGCTGGAAGGCTGCATTGAATGTTTCCATTGAAGACCAGGGAGTTCTCTTTTTGGGATAAACCATAGTAAATCCTTTATGATTAAACATTGAGTTTGTACAAGTACTTTCAAATTATGACACAGTGAGGTGTTTTTATAAACAAAAAGAATTTTTTTTCCAATGAATTTATCCTATTCATTGTCTTTTTGTGAAACTCCTGTGACCACCACCTCACAGCCCACCGGTCATGATGTGAAAAACTGGGTAGAGGAGAGTAAGAGAAGGGAATCCCTCTTTATACAGATAACTTTGGGCTTTAATTTTTTTTCTAGAATCAGTTTATGTGCAATGCTAGAAAAAACTTTCTCTGAGTCTTTTACATATATGTTGCACATGGCAAAATTCTGTATATAGGATTCCATTGATTTTTGTCAAATACCATTTGAAATGTTACCTCAACATAAAATATTTGTTTTATAATAAAGATAATAATACCCAGAAAATATATGTGCTTATTTGTTATGGTCATATTGATTATGACTTTGAGGATGTATATGTTAAGCAACTCTTTCTTGAGAACATTACCAAATAGTTTATTAGCTTTCTCCCACTAATATGGAAGCTTTCCTTAAGTTATTTTGTGAAAATTTTATTTGTGATTCAAGTAGCATTTTGGTAAAATTACTTTGTATAGCTGTGATATTTTACTAAATATACCTGTTCTAGAGGAGGAGAAAAAAAAGAAGCAAGCTCTCAACTTTTGTTTGAGGCCTCATTTCATGCTGTTCGGTTTTAACGCTAGTTCTTATTGATCTCTCAGACTCATTTGTGCAAATCTGGGTGCGACAGGGAAACACATTTTTTACATTTTTATTTCTTGGAAAGAAACAACTTCATTTCAGCACATCTATTTTACAAACGTGTTTTTACCCACACTTACACTAGAGAACATCAGAATTCCCCTTCCATTTATTATTTTTTAATTTATTTTTTGGGACAGTCTCACTCTCCCACCCAGGCTGAAGTGCAGTGGTGCAATGCTGGCTCATTGCAGCCTTAAGCTCCTGGGCTCAAGCAATCCTTCTGCCACAGCCTTCCAAATGGCTGGGGCTACAGGTGTGCACCATTACGCCTGGCTAATTTTTTTGATTTGTTTTTTTTAGAGACAAAGTCTCACCAATTTTCCCAGGCTGGTCTCTAACTCCTGGGCTCAAGCAATTTTTCCACCTCGGTCTCCGAAAGTGCTAGGATTAGAGGTGGGAGCCATTGTGCCTGGTCTGTCCCCTACCATTTATTAAGAAAATCAAGAAGATGTCCTGACTTTCAGTCTGACCCTTCTCATGCTTCATACCACTTTGTTCCCTCACAAAGGCAAAACTTTGTTCACTTGAGGAAATTTAGCAATTATATAATAAATATATATATTTTGCTCTCTCTTTCTAATCCTCCTTCCCTCATTGTGAGATTTTAACTTAGTAGGTCTGGAGTGAAACCCAGAATTTTGTGTTTCTTAAAAGATCCCAGGAGTTTCGGATCGAGCCCGTCCATACACCTACCTTTGGGTTCTATGGCTCTTTGGATCAATTCTCTAACTCTGTTAATATACAGGTTCCTGCCAACCCACAGCTCCTTCTTAGAAGAACTACCTCATACTCAGGCCTCCTGGGCGCCCAAGGCACAGGTGACCAGGTTCTAACCACCCTACTGCCCCACCTCCCCATAGAGGATTGGACAGGTTGAGCTCCTGACTTCAGGGGAGTCTGGCCAGCAACCTCCTAGGAGGCACATACCTGCCATGAATGACGAATGACAGTGGCGGTGGCTTGCAGTGTAACCTAATTTTCCCTCTCTGGAAATCTGAATATTTAGGGAGAGAGATGTCAGACAAAGGTCAGAGCAAAACCAGAAGGGAATACATAGAAACACAGAAATAAAGAGAGGGCAGGGTGCTGTGGCTCATGACTGCAGTCCCAGCACTCTGGGAGGCTGAGGTGGGTGGATTGCTTGAGCCTAGGAATTCAAGACTAGCCTGGGCAACATAGTGAGACCCTGTCTCTACAAAAAATCAGGGGTAGTGGCATGCACCTATAGTTCCAGCTACTCAGGAGGCCAAGGCAGAAGGATCACCTGAGCCCAGGAGTCGAGAGTACTGTGATATGTGATTGTGCACTCCAGCCAGGGTGACAGAGTGAGACTCTGTCTTAAAACAAACAAACAAGCAAACAAACAAACAATCTAGAGTGGAGGGCACCTGGGAGTCCAATTTTTAACATTATGATGGTGATGTCGTTTAGATACCTGTCTCCTGCAAGTCCCATTGACCCCCAGGGTGTTTGGGTCGTGGGGGCAGATCCCTCATGACCAGCATGGTACTGTCCTTGCAGTGCTGAGGGAGACCTTGTTCTATTCATTCCTTCTACAGCTGATTGCTAAAAACAGCACGGCCCCTCCCCACTCTCTCACCATGCGACACACCAGCTCCTTTCTCTTCCTCCTTGAGTAGAAGCACCCTGAGGCCTCGCCAGAAGTTAGTGCCGTGCTTCTTGTACAGCATGCAGAAATGTGAGGCAAATCAACCTCTTTTCTTTCTTTCGTTTCTTTTTTTTTAAGTTGGGGTCTCACTCTGCTGCCTAGACTGGAGAACAGTGGCACAATCACAGCGAGTTCATAACAAGTGACTGTATACTTGTCACAAGGGAATCTAGAAAGAAAGGATCTTGCATTTTTACCTTCTTTATCACAAGGTCCATTTTTGTCTCTCACCCAAGCATATAAGGAGGAATGTATTACTATGTGTATGAAGAAGGTTCTGGTGCTAGATGAGCAAAAGATTGAAAAATGTCCTGCTAGTGAGAAGAACAATGCCCATGCAAAAAGGAGGAGCAGCATGGATGCCATGGGAGTGACCAAGTCAACTCTTATGACTGAGTGTGATCCATGTTGATGAAGATGGAGGCATAACACTCACACCAAGGGCAGTGCAGGGAGCACCATGGGATTCTCACAATGAACAGAGGGGCCTGGGAACATGAGAGAGCTGGCATTGTGCAGAAAATGTGCTCCAGGCTCTGTGCTAGTGTCTCATTTTGGGCCAGAGCTCCAGGAGCTCCACTGAGGTCCCAGAGACAGAGATCAACGATTTTATCTATACTTTCCCAGCCTGCTGTGGAAGATGGGAGGATATCCTCATGTGAATATATTCAAGACACTCTAAAATTGAGCTTCATAGGGGGAGGTGACCCAAGACTCTCTAAAATTATTTGTGAAATTATTAACACACAAGTAGAGGATTAACACACAAGTAGAGGATTCATGGATTTCATGAGATGCTCTAAGAAGCCCACTAGTATGCTGCTAAAATCCATTCAGCTGAATTAAGGAGTAACATTGACAATCATAAGATCTATCTAGATCTTGTTCTGTTAAACTTTTGCTTTCTGGAAAACCTCAAGTCAGTGCCGAAGGATAGAGTTGGAAGCACATATAGTGTGACTCATATCACACGTTGTTGTGGTTAGCTGATAAGGCTAGGTATCAAGGATGATAGTGTATTGTAGAATATCTTTTTGACCAAATGGCCAAAAAATTTTTAACTCACAAAAAGTTAAAATATACATAATGAAAATAATATTCTCAAAATAAAATTTCAAACAAATATAGTTTCTTTATATCCCTAGTATATTTGTGGTGTGCAAATGTGGTAGACTGGTAATTGTCCTCGATATCCAGTCTCCTCTTTGTAGGTGGATACAGGGCTACCCAAATGAAGATTCCATTTCTCAGCTTCCTTGCATCTTGGCGCACACATGGGGCCAAGTCCTGCCAATGGAACATGAGTGGAAGTCATGTGCTCTGCCTCTTTCATTTTCTGGAAGTCAGAAACTACAGAAATAACCTCTTTGTACCACAGAGTATCTGCCTCTTGGTTGTTTCATGAGAGAGGAATAAACTTCAATCTTAATTAATGCACTGTATTTTGGGATCTGCATATTACAACAGTTTATTCTATAGACTCACTAATATGTGTATAATGTATATATTCAGAGAGTTTGTGAGTATATTTTTAATTTCATAATGTTTTAGTTTCCTCAGCAGAAATGCTGCACAATCTTTCCTTTATTTAACAATTGAAGAAAATGTGTTATTTGACTGTGCTCTTATACCTTTGTGTGTACATGTAAGCTTTGGTATCGTTGAGATGAAACTAGTTTTTAGACTGTGAAT